TGGTTTCCGTTTTGCGTTTGCTTTTCCCACTTTTTGTTTTTGCACTATATGCTCTCTCTGCAGCAGGCACGCACTCGTTGCCTGCGCAGCTCATAAATACCTATGTATATGCATGTTCAAATTTGTGCGTATGTATACACTGTAGCTGATACGATAGTCTTGATACTTTTCATGCTTAATTCATTAAAATTTTAGCTCTGCTGTGCAACTTTGCTATACTCGTGTCAAAAATAGATCTATATATAATTGGTGCTCACAATAATTATATTTTCTAAATACCACAAGACTATCAGCTGCAGTGTATATGTACACACGAAATTGAATATGCATATATATAGGTATTTATGAGCTGCGCAGGCAACGAGTGCGTGCCTGCTGCAGAGAGAGCATATAGTGTAAAAACAAAAAGTGGGAGAAGCAAACGCAAGACGGCAACTGAAAAAACTCCATGGCCGCTTTGCGTTTTGCCAATAGCTATAGTCAATGCGTTCAAGGTGTTGACTCTCTGCTTTAAATTCATCAAATTCTGGCGCTAGGCTCATGTCTCATGATGACATTACGGCATAGACACCGGCGACGTCATAGCTACATAGCAGCCTGGGCTTAGCTCGTAGCAATTACAGTAAAAGCGCATGGTGTGCCGCACAGGTTCATCGCATCGACGCTCTCGTGCGATAATGCCATTTTTTTCCTCTGTGTGTATTACGTCAGTTTTTTCTGAGTAAATATTCACGAATTGTGCGTTTGGTCACTGAAACAACTGGAATTAAAATATTGAAATAAAAAATATATAATGTTTCACGAGTTTCTTGATGTTAATACGTTTTATATTTTAAAGGCGTTTGAAACTTGCAGACAGACATAGCGGCACGATGGAAGCTTTCCTGATTGGTCAATCAAAATGGATGCACAACGCCACACCTTGTATTTTTACATCATGCTTATATCTCTATGTATGTAACATAGGCAATGGGACCATCTGTATTTCTTACACCGTGGACTGGACCAAGAACCATTTTGATGGAACGAATCAATGGAACTATAGAACTAAACTGTATTGACAGCACATGCGCAGCAATGTGTATTATCTAAATTATCTTGAGTAGTAATTGAAAGTGGGCGGAAACTGGGCCCAAGCTTGGCTGCCCTGCCGCCCACCTTGGCCTCAGCATAGGACCTGACTTGGCCAACAGGCGGTTTGTAATACGGCGATGACTTGGGCACAGCTTGTCCTGAATTTCGTTGAGTAATCACCCACTTTTGTCTGCAGATCAGTATAATACAGAGATGTCTATGTATAAGTATACAAATGTATAGTATGATATGCGCGCTCGCAGCACACACATGAATATTTATACAAACTTATATGCATATAAACTTACAAGCATTCTTGTATATACCCAATATCAGTGCAGACGAAAGTGGGTGATTACAGGGCGAAAGTCATGCCAAGTAATCCAATTACAAACCCACCTGCGGCCAGGCTTGGTTGCTTGATTTGGACCATGCATTTAAGCTGGGCTGCCCACTTTTATTTCTACTCGGGATGTTGATCACAGACATATGAGAAAAGAGACACAGCATCGCACATTTCCACCTTTGGCAATGTGCTAGAGAGGCAGATACCCACGTCAGATGTTGCGTCTCGCTCTACTTGTGCTTGAGCGCTGTACGTAAGAACAAGCAGTCTACATTTCTTTGTATGTCTATGACTGTGATGAGAAAAAAATCGCACATTGGACAAAAATAATTATTCTACCAGCTATACATAAAAATATGACAATTTATAATTGTTAAACATAAACAACAATTGAATTGCAAACGATTGACACCAATTTTGTTAGTATAGACACACTACAAAGGGTAGAGGAGATACTTTTCATGGCTCTCCCACGATGGCATCACATTCAACTTTTTTGCAAAAAATTGATCCAACAGTTTTTTACAAAGCGGTTACAAGCAGTGCTAACGATTCCACAGTTTTGGGTTTTTTTTTCGAGTCAAAATTGACCAGTTGCTCGCGGAGTTCGCTGAGCTCTATTTGCTTCCATAAAATTTAACACGGGTTGGGGGTTAGGGGTATGAAATGAGGGCAGGCGGCAAGCAGCACGGTGTATGTACGTAGTGAGCTTCGAAGGAGTGAGGAGACAATGTCCACCATTTGAGGCTCATGGGGAAAGGCGTGAATCGTTAGCTTAAAAAAGCAGCATTTAGCATATATATGTCACGACATACAAATATATGTATGGATATGAACATATACACAAGTATATGACTAAAGTCCCCATGAGCCTCAAATGACAGCTGCAGTGTTGCCAGATATGGCGATTTATAGCCAAAGTGGCAATTTTTACTTCATACTGGCGACGTAATTTTTTTACGTGGCTATGGCGATTTTTACTGGCGGTAAGGATATTTGCATGGCGATTTTTAGTCTATTTTCAAATTTTATTTAACATGGTTAATATTATTACTATTTTTAAAACGCTGTGACTATTCACACCTTATATCCACGTACACGCATGCGCCTCGCTCGCTTCGCTCGCTTGGAAAAAAAAAAAAAAACTTGGACCTTATAAGTACCGGACAGTAGAGTTACCCACTGCGCATGCGTATTTACTATATCCACGTAATTACGTGGATTTACGGTGCGTTTTGGTGCGAATAGACACTACGTTTTTAAAAATCCACTATTACGTTTTTTAAATAGAGCGTGTTTTTGAGTGCTCGAGCACGATTTAAACTGTGCACTTGAAATTGCGCAGTAGCTTTATAAATGTAATGTGTAATTTCATGAGATACTGCAGTCAGTGTTGGCATATATATTTTTATTTTTTTTTTTTTGTTTATTATCGCCCGTAGGCTCAGATATGGCTTTTTTACACAAGAATAGTGTTTTCCAGCCATCGGTGCACCTGAGTTATGACTAGATGTTTATACGCATATAAACATCTGGAAAAACTTATAGTCACACCTATGATCACGATGTCGAAGCAAAAGAGAAACAGTTAATCAAGCCTCGAGAATCAAGAGCACAGGCGAAACGGCAAGACCTGAATGGTCACCAGGCGGTCATCCATCCAAGTACTAAGCGCGCTGAATTCAGCTTAACCTTAGAGATCAACGGAACTGCAACTCTAACGTTGCGCCATCGCAATCCGGGGTTTAATCCGATTTAATTCGCTTACCCATAAAAAAAGAAGAGTGTCATCAGTAGCCGGAATGCCCAGCTGCACGACACATGATGACAGCATCTGGCAACACTGGGCGGCTGACCAATTAGCACCGGTCCCAACGGTGTCTTCTCACTCCCTGAAAGCTCACTATATGCACGGAGCCAATATCTAAGCTTATGGTCAAGACCTCGACGGCTCGACCCGATTAGCTAGCGGCCCCGCGAGTCGCATAACCGAACAAAACTATTACTCAGATATATGATCACTAGAAACAGTTTTTTTTTTATTCATCATCGTCCGTTGGCTCAGACATGGTATTCTTTTACACAAGCATAGTGTCAATTAGCCATCGGTGCACCTAGGTTATGACCAGATGTTTATATACGTATATAAACATCTGGACCAACTCAGTCACACCTATGATCACGTAGACGAAGCGTCAGAGAAACAGTTAATCGACCTTCGAGAATCAAGAGTACAGGCGAAAGGGCGAGACTTGAATGGTGACCAGACCAGACGATCACTCATCTAAGTACCTACTAACCGCGCCAAATGCAGCTTAACCTCGGAGATCGACGGAACTGCAACTCTACCGTTGCGCCACCGCGACCACACTAGAAACAGTTACATGTAATTTTATGAATATTCGCTCCGTGCATGACACGCAGCGCCGTCCTCGGTGTCAGAATCGCGCAATATCGTACCCCCGTATGATTAAATCGTAACACTGCCGCTTATAGGAGAAAGAAATTATTTATTGAATAAGACGTACATACTGGTATCGCGTAAACATCAGCACCCTAAATAATGGATATGATTATCCAAACAGGCTTTAAAAGTATAAGTTGCAACACAGTTTTTAATAATGAAACGCTGAAAAAAGCTAAAAAATTAGTAGAGAGTGGGCACGTTGCCTATAGTCTAATGGAATAAAAAGTAATATTACCGCTCAACGGCTGCATCACTATTTATTTTCCTTTTTCCATAAATATCGGGAAAAATAGTTGGAACATAACTGGAACTTTTTTCAATGTTTGATTTTGCATTGCCAATAAAGTGAGAGCTACAAATTGCATCCTTTGATGAAGGCTGCCACAAACTGCCATCAGGACTGTAAAATTTTCATGATAGTTTTACTTATAATCAATAATAATAATAAAAAAAATTCCGTAGGTTAGGTACGAACTTTTGTCTCCTAACTGCCCTAATTCACAGCTCCTTCTGTTTTGTTTCATGGGGTCTACTGGGGAATTTATACAGCACCATCCCCTGCTTTTCTTTCTTGTTGCAATTAACAACGCAACACTGTCTCGTACGCATTTCGTTACTTTGTAAACGTAAACACTGATTCAGATTATACAGCTAGCAGCAGCCTATGTCGACTGCTTGGAGTTCTTGTTCTCACGTATGCAATATTACAGATAAGTATGTGTGTTGTGTACTATATGACAGATGATATTTAATAACCCATTATTATTTAAAATTTCGGGCGATTTGAAGTGCCTAGCAAAATTATTTATCCGTATTATAGACCCGGTTTAGCTAAATAACATTTTTTTTCCGCCTACGATTTCTCAACTAATTACTTGAAATGAAATATCTTTTCTCATATAAGACAACGATTACTGTACGATTCATGGGGGTACGGGTTTGCCAACTTTGCTCACCTACAGCGCTGCAGTCGTTTTTTTTATCCCCTCCAACATGATGCACGGAGCGAATACATTCATTACAACGTGTATCATATTTTAAAATTGTTCTCAAGTACGATTTACTGAGACATCAAAATGTACGGTACAATACAAAAGTCACAATTAGTCTTACCTTCAGCTTCACAGGTTCTCTCTCTTTCAACAGGAGGCACAAGGTCTCGCCGTTCTTTATTGTCGAGTGGAAATTTCTTAACCAAACTATAAATGGATTGCCTGGAAAGCTTTTGTAATTTAACAATGGCATCGGCTTGGACAATTGTTGAGCCTGCTCTTTTATAAACTGTAAGGAATCTATTGGCTCCACGACTGCAAAGTGAGATGCGTGCATTATGATAGGATAAAGCAATCATCAATAAAATATTTGGTGGGCTGACTTAGAGCTTATTTCAGTGAACTAAAGCGTTGCCTACAAATTCAATTGTTGTAATGAGGCTTTCATTTTCACAAATAATATCAAATAAATATTAATCCTAGAGCCTAAACGGTATTCCATGTTTGGAAGCTCTTTTTCTGCAAAGTTCAGCTTTTGGACTTGGTAATATAGAGTATGAGTTGCCTTTATATCAATTATAACAAAACGTCCAGTTTCAAAGCTGGAGCATAACTACAGATAGAATGAGCTCTCAAAGTTAAGGAATACGAGCGTTTAGATAGAGGCAGGGCTTATAAAAAGAGTGTATCTGTTAATAAATTAGGTAGGCTTTTGTCAATAAGCATGACTAGGTACAGCGACTTTTACCCTCACCCTCTGCTTTTTGATTTCAGACCCATTTGCCGAGCCAAGTTATGAATATAGGCTCTCTCTTCAGCTGTGTACGAAGAAGGGAATTCAAGTTCTGTTTGCTCAAGAGTTTCCAAGAGTTTTTTGATAGTCAAGTTGACAGCTATTCTCGTGTCCTCGCCGATCTCTCGGTAGTAATGATTTTTTTTACGTGGCATTTCCGAAGAATATCACCCGCAATCAGAAGCTGGAGCTATATTAATACGATTTCGAAAATAAAGGCATAAAATCTTTAATTTGTCTTAGTCCAACACATCAGGTTTATTTTCATACACTGACTGAGAATCCTCTGATCCTTGTTTCTTAGGCTGCAGTCACATGGAGCGCAATAGAGCGTGCAGGATAGAATTGTCCCCACAAGCGGCTGGTTAACTCTATTGCGCTGCAGGATAGCTCTATTGCGCGGCGCATAGGCATAGGGTTAAGACAGTCGCTTATGGGAACAATGCTATCCTGCAAGCTCTATTGCGCTCCATGTGACTGCAGCCTTATACTGTGAACATAGACATATTATAAGCATAGAGGTATAAGCATAGAGATATAAGAAGTAACCTCTATGCAAATGAGAAATATATAGTGTAGACAGCTCGTTCCTGCGCTGAAGCACGAGTAGAAAGAGACACAGCATTGAGCGTGAGTATCTGCCTTTCTCGTAAATTGACAACAGTGGGGATGAGGGCGTGGGGGTCAGTAAACAAAGTCTGGTTAACGCAACATCTCCACCGTCAACAAAGCGCCATGAACATAAACAAATAAGAAAAATGGACTGCTCGTTCTTATAAACAGCGCTGAAACACAAGTAGAAGGAGACACAACATCGAACGTTGATTTATGTCTTTCTCGCACTGCCAAAGAGAGAGATGCCCACGTTCGATGTTGTGTCTTCTTCTACTTGTGCTTCAGCGCTGTACATAAGAGCGAGTAGTCTATTTCTTATATGTCTATGCTCTAAGCGCTCTAACTGCTCCACACGTGCTCTCGGCCCAGGTGACCCACAAAATCCGTAGTAGTGCCCGATGTAATTGTCATATAATGTAAGTAAATATCTACAGATAAGAGGTTAAGATAATTCATAGCTGGTCTCTTACGGCTTCCTTGGGTTGCCTGATTATAAGCACGTGTAAAGCAGTTTGAGCGCTCGGAGCGCTCGAAGCAAAATTGCGTGTTCAGGGTTTGGGCTAGAGTTTGGACCTCTTAATTGAACAAATCTAAATTTAAATCGATTTGAATCGACTTGAATCCGTCTTTTATAGCAAGGTATATCACCAAAATCTAAGGCCGAGGAGTGGTCAAAATTTTAACCAGCTGCCACTTTTACCAGAATTTAGGAACCTTATGATTCGTGGAGATCCGAAATATTTTGGTCATATTTCATTGTAGTAAGAAGTCATGTGGTTATTATAGTTGTGCCATATGATTTTTTTTAGTGACCAGCCACAACTTACACCAATAGATAGAAAATAAAAAGTTGTCTACGGAAATGCCATTTGCGGCAAGATTAAAATGCATTTTGTATCCAAAAGTAGACCTCCAAAAAAATTAAAATTGTATTCTTATCCATAGACATATAAGAAAATTAGACTGCTTGGTGCTTGTTCTTATTTATGGCGCTGAAGCACAAGCGGAAAGCGACACAATATTGAACGTGGATATCTGTCTTTCTCGCATATTGCCAAAGGTGGGAATGTGCGAGAGAGACATATCCACGTTCGATGTTATGTCTCATTCTACTTGTACTTCAGTGCCGTACATAATGTCTATGTTCTTATCTAAGGAAGGGGGTCTATTTTTTAAAGGTCAATTTTTGAGTATAAGATGCATTTTTATCTTGCCGCAAATGGCATTTTCGGTAGACAAATTTTTATTTTCTATCTATTAATGTGAGTTGCGGCTGGTTAATAAGAAAGATGAAATTTACTGTGCGCTTATGTCAGGTGGCGCCGTCGAGTAAGAGAAATTGGCCCTCGCTAAGATCGCCAGGGTCCGTACCATATAACTATTTTTCTGTACATCGGCCTATGTTTTAACATAGGCCTGTGAAAGTGTGAAGCAAAAAAAAATTATATGGTACGGCCCCAGAAATCCCAGAATACACGGAGCCTTATAGAAAAATTTTTTTATAAATTAAAAAAAAAAGGTTATTAAAAGTAAATCGACCAAACAAATCAGTTGTTTTAGTGNTTGTAGGGAATTTTTTTTATAAATTAAAAAAAAAAGGTTATTAAAAGTAAATCGACCAAACAAATCAGTTGTTTTAGTGTGTATTATGTTAGTGTACAGTAATAAATTTTGTTTGGTGTTGTTGTGTGTACTACAAGATTGGAAAAAATAAAAACATAGATTGCGACTATGATAACATAGCATATAATATTTATATATGTATATATAAGTGCATTATACATGCTTACACTTGTGTAAAGCTTAAAGGATACCCTGTATCCTGTATCCTGTATCCTTTAAGCTTTACACAAGTGTAAGCATGTATAATGCACTTATATATATTATATGCTATGTTATCAGAGTCGCAATCTATGTTTTTATTTTTTCCAATCTTGTAGTACACATGACAACACCAAAAAAAATTGGTTACTGTACACTAACATTATATACGATCGAATCACGGATTCATTTGGTCAATCCACTCTTAGTAACCTTTTTTTAAATTTATTAGAAAATTTCCCTATAAGGCTCCGTGTATTCTGGCGATCTTAGTGAGGGCCAGTTTCTCTCACTCGACAGCGCCACCTGACATAGGCGCATAGCGAACAGCACAACTTGAATTACCACATAAATCTTTACCACAATAAAATATGACCGAAATATCTCGGATCTTAATGAATCATAAAGTTTCCCAATTCAGGTATGAGTGGCGGCTGGTTAAAATTTTGACCACTCTCGGGCCTCAGCTCTTAGCTAATACACATAGACATATAAGAAATAGACTGCTCGTTTTTATGTACAGCGCTGAAGCACAAGTAGAAACAGACACAACATCGAACGTGTAAATCTGTCTCTCTCAAACGTTGCAAACGGTGGGGGTCAGTAAACTAAGGCCAGCTGATGTAACCTCCCGACCGTTGGCAAAGTGAGAAAGAGACAGATATACAAGTTCAATATTGTGTCTCTTTCTACTCGTGCTTCAGCGCCGTACATAAAAACGAGGAGTCTATTTTTTATATGTCTATAATTCTAAGATTGTCCTTTCACTTTCACTCCTTCGAAGCCATAGAGGTATAAGAATAGAGGGGAAAAGCGCTATACTAACCCATTGGCGGCAGCGACAGCATAATTAAATGTAACGGGGCATCTGTCTTAGTTTCCAAAGCCACGTTACTGGCTGCTTCTTCGTCCTGAATCCTACAGTTAAATTAATCTCGTGTAGGACTCGACCAATAACATAACAATAACATAACTGTCAGACAAAGATAGATGCCCTGATACGTAATGAATTTTACCTCTATGTTAATACAGGATTCCACTCCTTCTTTGTTGCTAATTACATATATATGTATATATATATATACACCTTGCAGATTTTGCAACATAAAGCGGCGGTTCTCCTGCTCTCTCCCTTGACGCTCACTAGCTCACTAAAATTTCCTGTTAGACGACTCGCTTCAGCTCTGAGTTAGAAATTTGCTGTTCAAGCGGACGTTTTAGGTTTTTTAACGTATGTTTTTGCGCTTATTACGGGAAAAATAAGAAAAAAAATTTTAAATTAATGGATAAATGTGAAAATCGTGTCTGAAGTTTATTTCGCTTATATCTCTTTAACAGTAGCAGATACGACAAAAATAAAAACACCAGCGTGTAGGGCGAAAAATTTCCTATCGATTTGATGTATCATACATGTTTGAACAAGTGCAAAATTATGCTAAAAAAATTAATTAAGCATTTTTTACACTTGCTGTAAGAGTGAGTGAGAAGGAGAGAGCGGCAGCCACGACGAGCTACGAGGCCTACGAGTCATACACCCCCTCTATGCTCTACTACATGCGTGCGTTGTATTCGCTATTTCACTACGTGCACAACACAAGCTGAAAAAGCGATCGCAGCAATACCTGTGCTAATATGTGAAACCAAACGATATGTTTGTCTTCTGCTAGCAGACTGCTAAGCATTANTATATATAAGTGCATTATACATGCTTACACTTGTGTAAAGCTTAAAGGATACCCTGTATCCTGTATCCTGTATCCTTTAAGCTTTACACAAGTGTAAGCATGTATAATGCACTTATATATATTATATGCTATGTTATCAGAGTCGCAATCTATGTTTTTATTTTTTCCAATCTTGTAGTACACATGACAACACCAAAAAAAATTGGTTACTGTACACTAACATTATATACGATCGAATCACGGATTCATTTGGTCAATCCACTCTTAGTAACCTTTTTTTAAATTTATTAGAAAATTTCCCTATAAGGCTCCGTGTATTCTGGCGATCTTAGTGAGGGCCAGTTTCTCTCACTCGACAGCGCCACCTGACATAGGCGCATAGCGAACAGCACAACTTGAATTACCACATAAATCTTTACCACAATAAAATATGACCGAAATATCTCGGATCTTAATGAATCATAAAGTTTCCCAATTCAGGTATGAGTGGCGGCTGGTTAAAATTTTGACCACTCTCGGGCCTCAGCTCTTAGCTAATACACATAGACATATAAGAAATAGACTGCTCGTTTTTATGTACAGCGCTGAAGCACAAGTAGAAACAGACACAACATCGAACGTGTAAATCTGTCTCTCTCAAACGTTGCAAACGGTGGGGGTCAGTAAACTAAGGCCAGCTGATGTAACCTCCCGACCGTTGGCAAAGTGAGAAAGAGACAGATATACAAGTTCAATATTGTGTCTCTTTCTACTCGTGCTTCAGCGCCGTACATAAAAACGAGGAGTCTATTTTTTATATGTCTATAATTCTAAGATTGTCCTTTCACTTTCACTCCTTCGAAGCCATAGAGGTATAAGAATAGAGGGGAAAAGCGCTATACTAACCCATTGGCGGCAGCGACAGCATAATTAAATGTAACGGGGCATCTGTCTTAGTTTCCAAAGCCACGTTACTGGCTGCTTCTTCGTCCTGAATCCTACAGTTAAATTAATCTCGTGTAGGACTCGACCAATAACATAACAATAACATAACTGTCAGACAAAGATAGATGCCCTGATACGTAATGAATTTTACCTCTATGTTA